CAGGCCAAGCATACAGCCCTTGCCCTCAACTCCTGCAAAAAGATCCCAGGATGAAGTCCATCTGCACAGCTAGTGCACACTCACACTACGTGTCTGAACATGGTCCCCAGAATCCATGGAGGCAACCACGGAGGCAACCACCAGGTCCGCTCGGAAGCACAAACAGTACCAGATCAATACTTCTGTGTCTAAATTACACTGAAAGCCAGGCATGTCTGGGATCCCAGCTCTTTGGGAGGCTGAGGCAGGAAGGTTGCTTGAGTTCAGAGTTCAAGATCAGCCTGGGCAATACAGGGAGAACCCACCTCTACTAAAAATAAAATTTTTAAAAATTAGTTGGGCATGGTGGTGTGCACCTGTAGTCCCATCTACCCAGGAGGCTGAGGCAGGACGATCACCTGAGCCCAGGAGTTTAAGACTGTAGTGAGTTATGATTGCACCACTGTACTCCAGCCTGGGCAACAGAGCGAGACCTTGTCTCAAAAAACAAAAAAGTTTAACCATACTCGAAGGTCCCTTCCTTCCCACTTTCTGTCCTATAAAAGTCATTCCAAGACCCCACGGCCCCTCTGGCAGCTGCCTGTCACTCACTCCTTGGAAGCAACCTGCGACTCAGGAGCTCCCTGTGCAGTGTTCTCACTGGCCTGCCGGCTTCACGTCCCGCCACTCCAACCTGCTCTCAGCAACACCACCAATAGATCCCAAGACACTCCAAGCCCCTCAGTCACTCCTCGCCCCTCAGTCACTCCTCAGGCCCCCCTTCCTCCCACACCACCCTCCCCAGGCACCTGGGCTCCCCCACCTCCCACCCTCTCACCTCTCAGTGGCCCTGGCTCCATCCCACCCAGTCAGTGTAGCTTTAAACTCATCTAAACTAGAAATGCATCATGACTCCCACACTCACACCTCCAGCCTAGAGCCCTCCCCAGGTCTCCCACGGCCCACTCGCCCTCTTCCCATCTCAGGAGATGCCAACTGCATTCTTCCCGTGCCTAAAACCAAGCATGCAACACCTGGCCCTTCCGTTTCCCCTCCCCTCCGTGTCCTTCATCCAGGACCCCTGACTTTCTCAGTGAGTGGCCCTATGCTGATCATTCACAGAGGCTGGGAACCACACGGCTATCCAGCCACTCTCTTGCCCCTCCTCTTCCTGGACAGCAGTCACCAAGCGCAGCTCCTCCTCATGTCTCAAGGCTTGTGCCTCCGGCTCCCACCCCAGCTCTTCATGCAGCCACCAGAATGATGCTCCAAAAAAGGAACTCACCTGTCGACACTCACTGAGAATGCTCCTGATCAGCGCCTGGGTGAAGCCCACTCCTGAGGGCGCCGTGCACCTCCCAGCCCAGCCTCCCTGCAGGATCCCAGGTGTTCCCTACAGGGCCCTCCTCTCTACGCCCTCACACACCCCAATGCACAAGCTCAGCTCTGACACCCTCCTCCTCCAGTGTCAAAGTGCTCCTCGGCCTGGAGACCAGACCCCAGGCACCATTTCCTGCAGCTCTGTGCCCACCTCTGTCATCCCAAAGCACTTCCCCTTTTCCAGGCCTACCCCAGCTTTGAGCACACAGCCTGCTGTCTCCCCAGCTGCCTCCATCGGACAATAAGCCCCTCAAAGACAAGTGACGCTTTCTTCCTCAGCGCGGCCCAGACCCTTGGGGTGCCTGGTCATAGGGGGCAGCAGACTCTTGGAGAAACCGCAGCCCCACACCTCTCACCCCACCTCCACCTACCTCGTGAAGTCAGCATGTGCTTGTCGTGTGGTAAAAACCTCCCTGAGGGGAGGGACCCTGTCTTATTTGTCTGTGGCCAAGCGGAAAGCCTACACGTGCAGCAGTGAGTCATTAAACATTACTGAGCTACACTGCACTTAGCTCAGTAAATGCATGAGCAAAGCCGCATTTCCTAGTAAAATAGCCTAGCCTAGAAAGGCGTTCTCACACACTCTGAAGTAAGAAATAACATTTTGCTGTAACTTGACCCTGAAATGTGAGGGTGAGTTCCACCTGCTGCCTGAAAAGGAGCACTGGTGAGGTTTCCACGAGAACACAGAAACTCTGTATTTGTATTTCCACACTAAGGCCTGAAATGTCGAAGGTCATTACCGGAGAGCGCCATCCTGCTCTGGCAGAGTCTGGAAAGCCCATTCCTTCTGCTCAGGTGTCTGTGGGCTGAGGAAAACGACTTGCTGGGCTCCGCAGTGGTCTGAGCAGCTGGGCCCTCTGCTGGCACTGGCAAGGGGAGGCTCTGGGAGAGGCATCTCTGGTCCTCTTCAAAGGCCGTCACGCCTCCGTCCTCCATGGGAAGAAGGGAGGCAAATTGCCAAGCTTCCACCTCTGGCGACAATTAGAAAACAATGTGAACCTGATGAGCATCAGCAATGCAAGAACATAAAAACAGTTTAACCAACTCATTCATAATGCCGAGTTAAGCTCAGTCCCAAAAGACATACACAACCAACTGCCATCCCAGGTCAGAACCTGCAATGGAAGAATGGTCCACCCAGAGTGGTGCTGAAAGCTCTTTCCGAGAAAAATACATAGGAAGACATGGGAAAGACAGAGGAGAGAGAGGGGAAAGCAAAGAACGGCGGGAAGGAGCCATGCGGGAAGCAGGGGCTACAGGTGCACACCAGCTGGAAATACTCCCAGGTCAAGATGAACCATCAGCACGCGGGGCTGCACAGCTCCCACGGCCGCAGCTTTCCCCTAAACAGTGAGTCCTGACCACCCCACCAGCTGCACACAGAATCACCTGGGCACTGCCAGCAACTGAGGTCACGGGGGCCGTGGCCAAGAGGTCACATCTCCTAGAGACAGGCCTGGCACCGGAGATTTGTATTTTTAGCTTTTCTCTTATACATGATTCAAATGCTGATACAGGGTGGAAATACAGGGAAATCTTGCATACTCTTCACTGAGTTTCCTCTTGTGGTGACATCTCACAGGAGAGTGTCGCAGCAAGGAAACGGGTTTGATACCATCCATCATCCTCGTCCAGGTTTCACGGCATTTACCTGCACGTGCGTGTGGGCGTGCACGCGAGTGAGCATGTGTTCCATGCAATCTTGTCACATGCATACATTCATGTGACCACTCTGCAGAGTGGAGATACTGGAGTCCCATCCTGCACACTGGCAAGCACCTGAAACGTAGGTGCACATTTACCAACACCCCATCCTCACAGCCAATCTCAACAAAAAGAGCTCTTAAGCAAGAAGACCTCCTCTACTGGAAGGAAGCAAGGCCCCCACCGGGTCATCCAGATTTTAGATAAACAGCAAGAAGAGGTTCTGGCCAATACCAGAACCATGACTGGAGTTTCCCCCACGAAATGAGGAGACCCTGGGCCAAGGCAAGCTCCCCAGATCCCATATTCCCTCTTCTAGACCACATTCTGGTTATCCAGAACCCAGAGTCCCCGACCAAAGGGCCTCGTGCCCACTTCTAAGGCCCACCTCAGCCTCTTCCCACCCAGATCCTCCCACACCTAGACTGGTGACCTGGCTGAGGAGAAGCCTTCCAGGAACAGCGAGCTTGGACAAGCCTGCAGGATGCCCACAGGAGGCCCTTCTAAGACAGGGCAGGCCTGGGTGGAAAGGAAAAGGGGGCTGGCCCTCCCAACACCACCTCTTCCAGTATGGAACTCCAAGAGTGCCCGCTCCTTGCCTTATCCCAGCATCTGGTAGCTAATTGGCCATCTTTGGTGTTCTTGGCTTGTGGCTGCGTCACTCCAATCTATACCTTCGCCATTACAGAGCTTCTCCCTGTGTGTATGTGTCTTCACGTGGCCATTTTTTTTTTAATTAGGACATGAGGTCTCACTATGTTGCCCAGGGCATAAAAGACCTGATCTGTGGAAGTCAAAACACTAAACTGTTAGCCAGGCAGGCCTCGTGGCCTGCACCCATAGTCCCAGCCACTCTAGAAGCTAAGGCAGAATTGCTCGAGCCCAGGAGATTGAGGTCAACGCAGGCAACAGAGCGAGACCCTTTCAAACCAAATAAAATAAAATACAAAATAAAATCATTAATATTTTAGAAGAAAAGAGACTATCTGTAAGACTTTAGGGTAGGGAATGTTTTCTTAAACAAGGCACAGAAAACTCTAGTTATAAAAAAACATTAATAAACGTAACATTAAAATTTAGGACAAAGGTTCACAAAGAATACCATAAAGAAAATGAAAGAATGAGCCACAATTTAGAAGATATTTGCCACATACATAAGCAACAGAGAATATCCAGAATAGCTTTAAAAGACCAACGGTTTAGGCCAGGCATGGTGGCTCATGCCTGTAATCCCAGTCCTTTGGGAGTCCAAGCCAGGTGGATCATGAGATCGAGACCATCCTGGACAACATGGTGAAACTCCGTCTCTACTAAAAATACAAAAATTTGTCAGACATGGTGGCGTGTGCCTGTAATTCCAGCTACTAAGGAGGCTGAGGCAGGACAATCGCTTGAACCCAGGAGGAGGAGGTTGCAGTGAGGCAAGATCACACCATTGCACTCCAGCCTGGGCAACAGGGCGAGACTCAGTCTCAAAAAAAAAAAAAAAAAAAAAAAAAAAAATCAACTATTTAAAGTTTAAACATTTTTAAAAGACACATGGTCCAACAGAAAAATGACAAGAAATAGGAACAAGCGTTTCACAGGAGACAAAATCCTAATCGTGATGATGTTATGCCTACAAAGTCGGCAGAAATTAAGAATCTAATAATATCGAATGTCAGAATGGATCTGGATCAACAGGAACTCTTCATACATTAACATAATCTCTTTAGAAAGCAATTCCGTCAAGCATTTGTCTGTATGGATACAGCACTTTCCACTTAGATTTATATTCCAGAGAAATGCTTATACACAGATAAGAAGACACAAGAATGTTCAGGACAGTCAGGTTCTCGATGCAAAGACAAGCAGAACAAATGGAGAGAAGGGAGGGAGGGAGAGAAGGAGGAGAAAGGGAAATGAAACAGCCCAAACACTCATCAGCAAGAAGACAGATTTTAAATTCTGGTATATTCACACTAGGAATTACAGCCATGAAAACAAATAAACTACACACAAGGGTGAATCTTAGCCATATAACAAGGGGAAAAAAATCAAGTTACAGAAGACAATCAGCAGGATTCCTTTGCTATAAAACAACCTAGGCCGGGCGCGGTGGCTCAAGCCTGTAATCCCAGCACTTTGGGAGGCCAAGGCGGGTGGATCACGAGGTCAACAGATCGAGACCATCCTGGTCAACATGGTGAAACCCCGTCTCTACTAAAAATACAAAAAATTAGCTGGGCATGGTGGTGCGTGCCTGTAATCCCAGCTACTCAGGAGGCTGAGGCAGGAGAATTGCCTGAACCCAGGAGGCGGAGGTTGCGGTGAGCCGAGATCGCGCCATTGCACTCCAGCCTGGGTAACAAGAGCGAAACTCCGTCTCAAAAAAA